GCTGGAAATTGTTGGGATCTAGTGACATAGCCACAGACCCACCTCTCCATCTCGCAGGAGCCACAGAGCCTCCCAGTCCCAGCCATCGCCTGAAACCCCTGTATTCCTCTGCAGACCTGCGTTGGGTCTCGTCTTGGGAGCAAACCCCACCTCAGGCAGCACAAGTGGCCTTGAGAAACTGCTCTGTGCCTCCTCCTCTCTTTTATTGCCCCATTGTGTTGTCCTCTCCCAATAAATCCCAGTGCACCCCACAGGGAACGGGGCACAGAGACAGCCCCAGGAGCTGCTGGGGGGGTGGCAGTGGAGGGGTCTGTGGTGGCCCGCTGACAGCCCTGCCCACCTCACCATTCCGTTCTGCCTTCCTCCTAGCCTGAGACCCGGCATGGACAAGGAGGTGCTGGGCATCCTGGTGTCCTACAAAGTGAAGGTCAACCTGGTGGTGTCCCGAGGAGGGTGAGGCTCTGCGGGCGCGAGGGGCAGGGACCATCACTTTGGGCTGTGGGACCTTGTACCACCGAGACTTGTGCCATAGATTCTCCTGTCCCTGCCCCACTCCCCCGGGGCCGTGGGGCAGCTGGGCGCTGGGCTGACTCCCACACCTCCATCCCCATCACCGCTGCCCTTCACCCCATTATAAATCTTCTTCCACCGTATTGTAAAGCAAAGTGTAACCTCCCCTGCTCTGCCTTGGCTGATTTCTGTCCCTTCTCTCCTGCTGCTGCAGCATCCTGGGGGATCTCACTTCCAGGTAAGGGGGGAGCTGCCTGCGGGGCCGAGCATGGCGCGGTGCTGGGAGGGTTTATTGAAAGACGTGTTTTTCCTTCCAGCGACGTTGGGGTCGAGCTGCCTGTCATCCTGATGCACCCGAAGCCTGCGGACAGTAAGTAGCGCCTGGGATGCTGCTGAAATGTGGGGGAGGAAGAGACCAGAGGGGAACTGGCAAAAGCACCACTGATGCAGCTGCCTCTGTGCAAAGTTTCCAGAAAAACACCCGAGTGTTAAGAAGAGATGTTAGGTGAAATGTCCTTCCTCTATTAACCTGCATGTGTCTCTCTCTCCACCCTTGCCTCCCTGTGCTTTGCTTATCGATGGACTACAGATAAGCCAAGGTAAAGAGATGCCTCCTTACACCTCAAGTCAGTATTTCCTGTAACGCACAAACCACACAGCTCCATCGCAGATGGATGTGATGCCCCATTCCAGTTTGAGATTACAGTCTTGGATTAAATCATCCAGGCCTTAAAGCCCTGGTGTCACAGCAGACACCATGAAACCCTTCATGCTCTCACATAGGCAGCAGAAGTGTTGTCACAGGCTGGGAGGATTCAAATGCTGGGCTCAACACGTGTTCTGTGAATTTCCAGGGCTTATTTTACAACTCTCCTGGCTGCATGCACAGCAGCCGCTCCTGCTGCAAGCCCAGACCTCGCCTCGTCCCTTAGAAGCAGCCAGCAGTGCTGCATCTCCCAGTCACATCCCCTGTGGCTTTGGTCTCCATCCCAGGTCCCCTGGCTGCTGGAAGCAGCACTTTGGCACCTGAGGGCATACGGCTGGGCTTCTGCAGCCAGTGGCCCTGTGGCCATGGCATGGCCGAGGCAAATCGTGTGACAGCCACAAGGTTTGGTGGCACGGCGTGTGCTGGGACTGCCGTCGGTCCCAGACCCGTGCCCCCCCACGCTCCCCGTTGCCAGAGCCCTCTTCTCCTCCCACCACGTGTTTATCCTGGCTGAAGCCACAGCTGGGGCTGCTCCCCTCCGGGAAGCTGCAGCGTGCCAAACCCACTCCTGGCAGCCACGGCCGCCAACCAGCCCCGCAGCTGGCCCTTGCTCACAAAGGCCTGAGTCTGGTTTGGTGTGTGGTTACACCCTGCAACGGGACACGAGCGCTGTGATTTGGAGCTGGAAACTTGGTCTGCAACTGCAAGGCTTTCACACCAAAGCCTATCAGCTTCCCAGCTCACGAGGATATTTAAACTTCCAGAGGAGGAAATCTCTTGGCCTGTCCCCACCATCGCTCCCTGTGGGTTTTGCCAAATCGTTTCACATATGCAAGCTTTTGGAATTGGTTTTGCTGACTCTTTTTTTCCGTTTGCTTCCCCTGCTTTTCATTCTGTGGCTCTCCCTTGATGTCATCCATTGCTTGCCTTTTACAAGGAGGTAACTAATCTCTTTGTCTCCGCTTTAATTTCTTTTCCTTCCCTTTTTTCCCTTGACAATGCAAAATATTGTCTTAAAAAAACACCAAAAGTTGCAGGCGAGCGCCCAATCCCTCCGGTCACGCACGCTCACAGCTGAGCCAGCAATCTGTCCTGGATTTGTGTGCTCGGGTCAGGCCGTGGCTCACAGTGACCTGACTGTTCCCTGCAGGGTGCTGGGGCCAGGGCACAGAGCAGCAGGATGTGGGCACTGTCCCCTAGAAGCGGCAGGGTTTGGGTGTCAGCAGGGTTTGGGTGTCAGCAGGGATCTTGCCCCTCTCCTTGCTGCTGTGTGTCCCAGACCGTGGGCTCTCAGCCTCCTTCCCAGGGCTCACCATGCTCTGCTCTCCCTTCCAGCGAGGAGGACATCGTCATCGAGGAATTCGCTCGCCAAAAACTCAAGGGGGAGAAAGACGATGACGATGAGAAGGAGGAGGCCGACAAAGAGTGAAGCTAACCCGCTG